CAACCGTTTGTCCGTCCCGCAAGCCGGTATTTAAATGTACACCACACGCACATACATACAAGTACATACAACAATTATATAGACACATATGTACATGCATTTGTATGTATCTGTATCCGTGTTTGTTTCAATTACCGCTACGTACCTGCGCACTTTTGACGCGATGTAGCGTACCGCCCGCTAGGACGCCGGCAGTGGTTGCTTTGGCATGCAGTGGCGCTGAGCTCATGACGTACTGCGACTGTTGTTTTTGTTGTTGCTTTGCTAAAGCCGATGCTGGTGCTGATGCTGGCGGTGGCTGCGGCTGCGGCTTGGACAGCAGCGCGGGCTTAGCCACCAATTGGACTGGTCCTGCTCCAACGGCATTTGCGTCAACGCCACTACCACTAATTGAGTTTTCTTGTACTTGGCTATCACTTTGGCTCGCCATTGGAGGAGCTTCCGAACTGGACATATTCGTATAGTAATTAGCTAATTCCTTCAGCAGATTGTACCGCACTCGGCAAATCTATCACACAGGCATATGTAAGTAATCGAAAGATACACCGAAGATTTGCAATTAACTTTGTTGAATTTCGATCTTTAACTTCACATTCATTCCATTCAGGAAGCACTTTTACTTGTGTATGCGATTAATACTGGAAGCAGGAACAACAAAGACCGGTCGCGTGACGTTTGCACGGGACGCACGTTAAACTGTAACTGATTTTCATTGCAATTTCCATGGAGCCACGTAGCGTCGTTTCGTCCTTGCTGTTTGTTTGTGGGTGGTGGGTGGATGGCCCGATGGGTGGTTGCTGGATGGTCTAAGTGCGAAGCTTTAACTTTATCTGCAGAATTTATCTGGCCATGTAGGGGAAATGTGCTCACTGGCTACCGTGGCTACCACTCGGGGGGAGCTGTTTCGGTTGAGGTTGCGGTTGCGTTTGCGGCATCGACTTCGGCATCGGCACGTGCTTCTGATAAGCAACAACAGCTGATTATGCAAACGAACAAAGCAACTAATAAGCCAGAGATGGGCGTCTGAATTCAATTAAAAATTATTAATCATCACAATTAAGTTGAGCTTGTGTTAATTAAATGCTTTTAAGATGTTTTTCGAATGGGACGTTCAGCTAACTTCCCCATTATTTAAATTTTCTTTGAGTGTTGTTCAAAATTTCCGAAATACAATTTGGGGAAAAGTTAAATTGGTTCTATTAATTTAAAATCTAAATTCTATAAAATAGATTAAGTAGGTTAAATCGTCTTAAATTTGTCCAATGAAAATTGTACGTTTCTTGTCACTAGTGCATCAATATACAAGATTTTTTTCTTGTAGCACTAGGAAATAATAATAACAATGTATGTAGTATGACTGATAAGGGGAGAAGAATGGAGGTTATACTCGTAAGATACTCTGGAACAAGATTGAAATTAAGCCAACCATAGCTTATTTTATGCGTATCTTGAAACATTTCGACATTCTTATGTTCAATATATTATTTTGTACATTTCTTCAACCTTGAGAAAAAATGGAACGAGCAGTATTTTATGTTTTGTAGGTTAGGGTGAGAATTATACACTTTTTGTTAATTTGGTCTCAGGATCATCCATCACTGTAAAAAATGAAAACCTGCAGTGTTGTGTAGCCTATTTATTGCATAATGCTCTTATCAATAAACAGACAAATTTCACATCGTGATAAACTAATTGTGTATGTCTTAAGCACTGAACATTCAAAATGAAGGAACTAAAGTTTTTCCATCTTCTGAATTCATAGTAGCATTAAAAAACACAATTATTTATTTGAACACAAAATGTATGTAAGAAACTTTTTACTTTCGTCACAAATTGAAATCCCAAATAAGCTACTGCCTTTGGTCTTTATTGCTCCTAGGACATTTGCTCGGCAGGACATTTTTATATGGATATTCATATGCTGTAAGGTTTTGTTAAATTGCTAATAGTGGGATAAGCCCTTGCGCTCGATTTTGTTTTGTGGTTTTTGTCTGATTTGCTTATCCAAATTTTGAATACATCCTTAGACCGAAAATAAAAGAAAGTCTTTGCGTAAATTTAGCTCGTCATTTAAGTTATAATAATTATACTTATATTTTACGAGTGTTTTGTGCTATGAAACCAATTTACATTAATGGAGTTGATCTTAATAGAAAATCTAAATCAAGTTACTGTCCGTGTACAAATTGAAAAGTTATTGCATAAATGTGTATTGGGATCCAACTGTAAACTTGTAATCCATTTTCATTTGATGGATAGAATAATTTTTGTATTGCTGCTTCCGAACTAAAAGTATAGCACAGATCTTCTTTGGCTTCTGCTTACGTAAACTTACGAATAAGAGCATCGGAACCAACAAATCGTTGACTTGCAGGCCCAATCTGCTTATTACCAGGCATGTGTTTACATTTTCACACACCGCTTGGAGCCTAACGGATTCGAGCAGTTCAACAACTTTGGCTCATGCTCAAATTTCAGAACCGAAATGGTCACCGGCACTTGTGGTAACCCAATCCCTTAATCACGCTGCTGAACTCTACCTGTGACCAACAACAAAACATATTCAAATAAGCCATTCAGCAAATATGATGACCCTCCTCGTTAAGTGTCTCAGTGTGTGTGCCTGTGTGGTTTTTTGTGGCTTGTGTGTGGTTTCGCGGTGGCCCGACCAAGATAAATGTCACCGCCGATGGTGGCCAGTTTAAATTCCGCTGGCTGGCAAGCAGGTTCCCTGCGCTCTGATCGGGGCAGCGGGTGTTAAATAACAAATAAACACTTGTGCACACATTAACATACAAAATGGAAGCCCAGGGGCCCTAGAACACGAAGAAAGAGAAATACCTTAACATGGGAATTTATTAAATAACCATAAAATGGGAAACGAGAACCAACAAGAACAGCAACCATGACGCTGCACCGCAACAAAAGAGCAACGCCAGATCAAACGCGTGCGACGAACGAGAAAGCCCGCAGGTCAGAGTGACCTCAGGTTCCATAAATGCGACAAGATAAACGGCGTGTTCCAGTTAAGGCGCAGCAGCTTCAATCGAGCCCACATAGACACATGTATGTATGCATATACTTGTATATGGATAGTTGAAATAGAAATAAATGTCAAAATTACGGGCGCATAAATAAATATAAAGAAAAGGCGCAGGAGGCAGTCGGGACCACCGTCACATCGAGTGGCTGTAAATTACACAGCACATTCCTGGACAATGATGATAGGTGGAGAGGTGAGAGGGGGGCGGCCGTGCTGCTAAGGCCATTGCGACATAGAACCGGCGTTGGATGTCATCATCAGTGGCGCGATCCTTGTCCAGTCGCACAAAGTCCAGCACGCAGCGTTAATTGCTGAGAAACAATCCCAGACTTGTCGTCGTTGTCGCATTTAATGAACATTTAATTGCAGCCCACATGTGCGCCAAACTATGTCCACAATGTCCTCTCCACAATATCTGGACGTGTCTGCGGTCAGACCTCGTCGTTGGACCGTCTTTGGGCAGCGATGAAGACAGCAAATTGAGAACAAAGTGTTATGGTCCTAGCTGACGACCAACGGCACCAATGCCGATGGCGAAGGCGACGACGATGATGAAGCTGATCACGACTCTACCGCCACTGACAGGGAGACAAACGAGCTGGCAGCTTTGGCGAAACAGTAGCCGACCAAAACGGCAACGACAAGGCCGAGAAGGGAGATGTTGGCCAAATGCGAGCGATGTCGATAATGTTGTTAATGATAATGATCATGAAGATGACGATGCTGATGTCCAGAGGTCGGCGCGCAGCTGGCTCTTCACTTTATCAATAAAAACCGCGATGCATCAGAATTCTCGAATTGCTTATGTCCAAGTAAAGCAACTGCTGCGCGACTTTGCTTTTCCTCGGATCAAATGCTAGAATAGATGCCCACCGTGGAACATTTTATTCTAAGGAGTCTTGCTCTAGGCTAGATGTCATCTCCTAACTAATATAACCACCACACTTGTGAACTTAGAAGTTTCTCATGAGTTCATTTATTTTCAACTCCGTATTGACATTAATGATATATACAAGCAGTATTGAATACTAACTTAGTATTACTAAGTAAATAACCTTGTTTATTTATGTTTTATCTTTCTGGATCTGGGAGGAATTCCCGCTCTTGTTGTGTAGTTCATTAGTAAGGCTTTAAAACAATTTCAGGTACCTTTCGTCTTCAAAACTTTAAGCAAAAATTAAAAAAATAAATAATGAAGAAGTAATAATTATTGGTATTCATGTACACACGAACAAAACAAAATACACATTTTCTTCGTATTCACATGAGACATCTTGGATTTCAAATTTGATGTCCCTTGGTCTTATAGTCTCCGAGATATAGCCGCGTATACAAACGGCGTTAAGGAAAAACCCGTATAGCGTACACACATAAGGCATCTTTGTGCAAAATTTGGTGTGTCTAGCTCTTATAGTCTCTGAGATCGGGGGATCATACGGACGGACGGACAGACAGGCAGACAGGGCTAGATCGACTCGTCTTGTCTGTAGGGTCTGCCAAGCAAAAATACAAAAGTTTTTGATCTCTAAACTAATAATAATTGTTTTTTAAATTTATTTTGTGATTTTACAAAAACTTCGATGTTTTTATTTGAAAACATCGATGTTTTTCCAGCTCTACTAGGAGAGTCTTACCAAGTTTAGTCCATGTGGGCTCAGCACTTTCCCAAATGCAGACAGATCGATTTCTCTTCAGAATATACATATATATATAAACTTTATGGGGTCGGAGATGCTTGTTTCTGGCTGTTACATATGTACATTAGGTATAGGGTATAAAAAAAATGACGCATCTAAAAATATTCAATATTATTCGTATTGGCAGTTACACATTAAAACATTCTCTACAAAGTATTATAAGTGATAACATTGGATCTTGCTTTAACATTTATTTATAAACCGTTACTACACTTCTTCATTCCTCAATCTCTATCCAGTTTCAATGCGAGGCTTTTCTATCACGGACTCTTCTTACGAAGTGTATCAAACGATGCATTGCCAGAGTATATATTGTCTGGTCGAAATGGTTCTGCATCCGGGTCGTCAGAAGAATCTCTAGACAAGATAGGAGTGCTTTATTAGTAGGTGTAAGGTTCTTTTTTCTGCTCGCCCACCCAATTTCGGAGAGATCACTATAGTCGCCATAGGAGCTCGGAGGACTGCAAAGACAGCAATGATAATTGGATTCGTAGAAGCACAGCTGGCAAAAGATTCCCTTGCACCCAATAGTATTGCACTTAATGGCTTCAGATCTGCAGGAATATAATATGAAGGTAGGGAAATAGAAATGGATTTCAGTGAAAACCTTTTGAGAGGTTTGCTACAAATGATGCAAATATCGCCGCTAGAGTATCCGAGGAAGCCACCGGAACCCCTAAACCGAAAAGGGGATTTAATCTATATAAATCGGATTACATGTAACACCCTACCAGCCAAAAATCTTGCAGCACCAAGTCAAACACCAAAACGCGTCATTGCGATCAGCGTAGAGATGCAAAGCACGGGCTCTGCGTCTGGCAAGCTTCACGAAGTTCCCTATGGAATATAGTTGGTTAATCATTCTCATGGTATTTTTTCAGAAAGATGACCAACCTCTGTCGTTTACAATGCGTTGATGTAAATATTGAGCCCGTTTGTGGGAGGCATCTGGATAGAAGCAGCTCATGATTCTGTGCCGAAGTCGCAGGCCATAGGGCTCCCAAAACAACAGAAACCAGGCCAGAAGGCACAGCACAACAATCTCATAGTAACGCACAAAGTTGGGCGGTACCGGTGTTGGCAAACACTCTGTCGTATCAATGGAATATTTCGTACCCAATGGTTCGAAAGCGTGAACCAGTCCACGAAGAATTTCCCCGATTGTGCCACCCCTCTTTATGACGATTTTAGTGTAGGGTGGTGCTGCATTTTAGGCGGAAGTATTGCGGTGAAAAAGTGCGCAGAACTCCTTAGATTAACGAACCTTCTAGGCCAGCCATTTTGTGGGAGTGATAGGACATCAGAGCCAGCATCCAGAAGAGACTGTACTCAGTGTAACAAATACAGAAGAGCTGCACACTAGTTATAATCATAAAGAGAACGGATTGGGACATTTTACTTAGCTCGTTTGGCAACAAACGCATTGAAGTCAGCTGCGGGTTTAACAGCAGTTAGGAGGAATTGTTAAAAGGAGAAGAACCTCTGCTGGCACTACCTCGACATATTTAACCTTCTCGGCAGAACGCAAGGGTAGGGCTGTTGGACCTCCAACGCGCTGCAGCTCCTCATCCAAGGAGAAGAACTCATGTGTCAGGTAGACATTGCAATACTCATCGCTAGAGAGATAACGCATGCGAAAATATATTGATCTGGGAGAGGACTGGTTTTAGTATAATAACTATGGCAGTGCATGAAATATGCAGATAGAACCTCAGCACAACAGAGATTATGAGAAGGGAAAACACAACATCCAACCAGACAAAGGCTAGCAGGAACTCCTGCATCTGCGAGTTCATCTGCATGTCCAGCTCCCGGTTCAGCTCCGTGCTGTTCATCGTCTTGCTATTGTTTTGGTGGTGAGTGTGATCGAAGGTGATGCTCACCTCGAATATATGTCGAATTTTGATAAAGCTCTCCTGCAGACCTGTGGGGAACCAGGAAGAAGATGGGGCTTGCGAAATGCCTCTTCAACTTACGTTGAAAAATTTCATTCACTATTTGCTGCTGCAACTGCACAGTGTTCTCGAAAAAGGTCTTCAATTCTTTGAGATTCCCACAGAACCATTCAAATCTTTGCTGTGCATTACAAACTGGCTTCTTGGCTCCAAATTTCAGCTGACACTCACGGATACTGATTCTTCCAGCGCCTATGCAACGGTCATAGGGTGTACCCATCTGCTTGTCAAAGGATTCACCCTGCAGGAGCAGCCACTCGCTGCAGGTCTTGTAGGCCCGAACTGCAAAGAGCTCACCATTGTCCAACTCCCAACTCTACTAATGCTAACTCACCGATCTTCAAGACACCAATCTCCAGACGTTCCAGTACGTGTTCTAGTCGATCCATAACGCGACGCACCTCGCTCATGGTGATGTACACAGCATGCTCCACAGCATAGACTGGCTCCCCCATGATGTCCAGCATTGGCAGCAGTGCCTCCCTCAAATGCCACTGTCCACAAGATAGGCTATGGGCCATAATGCCAATGTTATCAATAATATTCATAACAGGACCGGTGGCCGCTACGAAGAAGGCCAAGGCAATGAGCAATGCCCGTCCCTTGTAACTGCTCAGCGTAGGCAAGGTGAGCGCCAGGACGCATCTGCGTGTGGAATATTAGATATATTAGTTTCTCGGTGGAGCAGGGCACCACATTCACCTCATAGCACGGCTGTATGAGAGCACGAGTAGCAGGAGCACAAAGAACACTATGAGGAACCACATGCTATTGAGGTCCCTCTTCGCCTTGTGCGGATGGCGATAGTACCAAAGGAGCACTACAATGATGCCCACAACATAGCCCAAGATCACCCACAGCATTATATTTTGCGTATACGTGGGTGCACTCTGAATCCCGCTGCTCTCTTCTGAGACATGGGGATCAGTCTCTGATTCACTGATGTGGTATATTGGCGCCTCTTCCTCCGGGTCTGATTCAGTTGGGGGTCTTCCGGGTTCTTTTTTGCGATACGGCTGCTTTTCTACAGATATTCGCCTCTCCTCTTCGTCACCTGAACGTTTTACATATAAATCATCTGATTCAGTGGGGGGTCTCCTGGTTTCTTTTTTGCGATACGGTTGCTTGTCTTCAGATATTCGCCTCTCTTTTTTGTCACCTGAAAGTTTTACATAATAACTACTCCGAGTATCCATATCTGTTTGGTCTTTCGATAGAAATTTGTGGTCCTCCACGTAATAGTGGCGGCGCTCTTCGGGTTGGATGCTACTTTCTTGTAGATCATTCTCACTGGAGCTTTCTTTTTGGTATCTCTCTCGTTTTTTGTCCCTACGACTTCGGGGACGAGTTCGGCTGCGCGCATTTTCTCGCACATCTTCATTCGAGGTGTCCGCCATATTGCAAATCAGCTATTCGCTTTTCAATAAACATATGTATATTGTTATTCTTTTTTACTATATTCGATTTGTAAATCGAAGAAAACTTAGTCCCCAGCTCTTCCATATTCCAAGTTTTCTTGTTTTACACTTAATTTCGATCAAACAACATCTTGAATTAGATACCACCTTTATAAGAATAAAATTTATAATGAGAATTCTATTCTTTTTTGAGTGTTGTATTTATTCGTATTAAAAAAATTACTATATATGTATATAAAATGTTTTCATAAAAATATTTTACAACTTTTATGAAAAGTCTTCTAAGGATGCTTCTTGCTTCTACGCCTACGATGTCTGCAGAACTTTCTTGAATATTGTTGTCCAAAGGATTCGACGTCAGCATCATCCGAAGAGTCCCTGCAATCGATTCTCAATAAACATTTATTTATTTTTTAAATTAATATTTAGACACATAATTATCAATGTATTCCCATATGGGTATACACTTCTTGGAATGTATGTATATATCTTACATGAGAGCTTAATCGTAGGGACTAACTTGTGTGTTCTAAGAAGGTCAAAATTCATATTTTAATGTGATGGTTTGTATAGAAGGAGTAAGGACTGATATTACCAAAGACTTCTCCTCTGATGATTTCTATGGTTGTGAGACATTTACGAATATGTTCGACTGTTGTTCAAACAGGTTAATCGCAGACTTGTCAGTTGCTGGGTCAATGGTGGGTCAATGTGGTGTATATGTGTTAATTTAGGGGTTAGCTTAAGTCTAGTGAATTTAATTTAGTCATATCTGAAAATTTGTAGTTCCCATTTACAAGTTGGTACCACCCTCGGATTTGAGAATATACTTCATATGTTGGAGTTATTAATGTATATTTTAATGTCCCTTGAGATGAGGCTTTGCCGTGTACGTGTCTCATTATTCAGGTTAAACTTATGGAACAATTTAATAACAAGGGTTCGAGCTAATAAGACGTAGCAATCTGAGTTGTTGCCTTTACTTATGGTGTTTGTAGATGAAAGAAATCTGAGCATATGCAGAATTTCCATTTTTCATTTCAGCAATGTTTGAGCTTCTCTTATGGCAATTATTTCTGATGGAAACATGGAAAAGTAGCATGGAATTAGTCTTGATCTAAGGCATTACATTTCAGTTGTGTTGGTGTGAGAGATAATGGCATTACTTTGTGAGCCGTCTCTGCTCACTAACTGCAGAGATGAGCCTTACATAATCGTATATCAAATGCGTACTCTGGAAAATGCTCACAAGCCAACCGAAACCAAATATTTTTCAATATCTCGAACTTCAGGCCGTAGTTAGTAAGTGCAGAGTCAAAAATCAAGCTGTGATGCGGATTCAAATGAACTGTAAATGTAACACTATCTGCTGATTCCACTTGAAAATCAAATCTTCATCCAAGAAACAGAAAAGATTTCTTATAATCGGTTTTGCAACTAATCAGTATGAATTTAAAATATAATCATTCGTAGAACGTTTTTGTCTTATGTATGTAAAATGTAACAAAAACAAAACAACGACTTACTTCACTTCAGAGAAATCGCTGTAATCACCATAATCTATGGGTCGCTTGCATAGACAGCAGGTGTTATTGGACTGGCTAAAGCAGACCTTACAGTAGACGCCCTTGCAGCCCCGGGTGTCGCATCGTATGCTGGTCGATCTGTAAGTGCAATAAATAACACTATCACTGGAAAGGCACTCGTATTTTGATTAAGAGGTCAACTAACGAGCTCAAAGATTTGGCGCACATCACACACAGATCGCCGCTCAGACCTCCCAAGATGCAGCGGCAACACCAGCACCTGTAATGGGGACTAAGTCTTCAGTTCAGTAAGGGAGAAGAGTGCACAGTCTACCAATTTAATTTGCCTCGGAGCCAGTTCAGACAGCTCACATGACCCTCGGGATCTTGATACATAAAGGCTGCCCGTGCCCTACGACGAGCAAACTTGAAGAACCCAACTGAAAATGGTTTCATGAATTCGATAATCATGTACAGGCTGATTTTGGAAACTACCTCGCTCGGTCAGGATCTTATTGTGCATGTACAGAGCGCGGGTGTGGGCGCGTTCGGGATAAAAGCAGCGCATAATGACGTGGCGAAGGCGCAAGCAATGGGGTTCGCACAGCAAGACTAACCACGCGGCTAAACAGAGTCCCAATATTTGGACAAAGCGCACGTAGTTAGGCTCGACGGGCAAGGGCAAACACTGATGGGTGTCGAGCATCTTCTTCTGAGTGACGGGTCGAAAGGCATTGGCGATGCCTCGCATGATGTCGCCCACAAAGCCACCACCTTTGACCTCCAGATCAATGTAGGCAGGTATCTCCAGATCGGCCTGCTGATGGCCATAATAGGACATGGTGGCCAGCAGCCAAAAGAGCGCGTAATCCACAAAGCAAACGCAAAACAGCTGCAGACTGGTGATAAGCATGAAGAATGCATTCCGGGCAATCAAAAGCCACTCGGAGTTTGTAAGTCGCAAGCTGGAGAGCTGAAACCAAAAATAGAGCTCCGTGTTATTTATAGAAGAACAGAGGAGGGAATTGTGCTCAGCAGCCCTCACCTTTATATATTTTCTTCGCTCCGTACGTTTTAAGGGTAATACCGTTTCCTGACCCAGTCGCTTACGTTGCCTATCAATCGCATAGAAGGGCTTGGTCAGAAAAATATTCTGGTACTCGCGACTGTGCATGTAGCGCATATAGAAATAGATAGCCCTGTCAAACAATAAATATACATAGAAGTACAAAAATATTACTATATCAAAAGAGGAATACGAGATACATCCGAATTGAACAAATTTACGATATTTCTTGTAATAAGGCTTGAAAATTGGTATGAAATTGGAAACATGATTTTCATTTGTTTATTTTCAATTCCAAGCCATTTCAATGAAACGAATTGGAATAATACAGTTGGAACGCCGGAATGGGCCAAATGTGTTCTGGACTTCAAGCAACTTCAAAACTCACACCTAACAGAGGGATTCGTTATACATTCGGGCAGAATATCAAATAGTAATCAAAATTGAAAAAATGTACGATATTTCCTGGAATAGGGCTTCAAAATATGAAATTGGGGACTCGAATGTTATTTGTTTATTTTCAATTCCAAGCCATTTCAGTGAAACGAATTGGAATGAAACAGTTGGAACGTTGGAAGGTGCCAAATGTGTTCTCCACTTCAAGTAACTTTTAAACTGACACCTAAAAGAGGAATTCGGATTACATCCTGGCAGAATATAAAAAAGGTTTCAAAATTGAACAAATTTACGTTATTTCCTGTAGTAAGACTTGAAAATACGAAATGGGAGACGTGCACCTACTTTAGAAATATGCATATTATCATGATCCAGCACACGATATCCAACCAGCCGAAGAGCAGTATATATGGTCGAAGCTCTGCATTAATATCCTGCATAATTTCTTCGCCCACATCCGACAAATTCCGCGAAGCACTTGTGTTAAAGTAGAAATCATGCTCAAAGGTAATGCTGGCATCGAACATTTCCTCAATGTGCTGCACAAATTCGCGATAGCCTGAATTGTAAAATGCACTTCACTTGACTTCCACAGCATTTTCGTTCAGATGTTACTTACGTTGCAGGATGTTGTCCAGCAACTCTTCATTGAGATCCCAAAAACCAGTGCAAAATACATCTACGATCTTAGAGGGATAGCAAAAGACTAGAAATATCTTTGTGGCATGGCAGAGCGGCTTTAAAATTCCCAACTTGGCTTCGCACCTGTGCATGGCGAGCTTGGCGGTGCGTTTACAGCGGGTCCATGGTGTGCCCATCTCCGAATTGCACAGCTCCACGACGGACTTCAACCAGAGAGCGCATTTCTTCAATGTGTCGACTGGGCAGAGAGGACGGGTAATGAGTTTCGCACGCACCATGCTTTCCGAAGCCTAGTTACTCACTTATGAGCAAGAGGTAGCCTTGTATGCGCAACAGGACCTCCATTACATGCTCCATGACGCGACGCACTTCCTCCAAAAGTAGCTCTATAGCCAGCTTTATAGCCTCGACTGGCTCCATTATAACGTCCAGTATTTGTAGAAGAGCCTGGCGCAGAAGTTCCTGACTGCAGGCGAGACTGCGCAGCAGGACGCGCAAATTGGCGAAAATATTAGCCACTGGACCAATGGCAGCCAAGAAGAAAGCGACTGCTATGAGCAGGGCTCGTCCCCGTGAGCTACTTAGCGAGGGCACCGCAAGGCTCAGAACACATCTGCAAAGAGCCATAATGTATTCAATCCTGTAATACGCTCGGCAGTAGGGAGTCGACTCACCTAACAGGACGACTATAGAATAGCACAATGATTAGCAATCCGAGGCATATAATGGCGTACCAGCGTGCCGTCATATCACGTTTTCTTTGAATCGGATGAAACTCGTACCAAACGATGACGAGCACTATGCCCGAAAAATAACCACAAATTACCAACAATATGAGCGATTTAAAAGGCCATGCCTCGTCCTCATCACGCTTTAGTTCTTCCATTTTCATAGCAAAAACTGAATTGCCAAGGCATGGGTAAATTGATGGAACTTTAAGGTTTTGTGCTGCTAATAGCCACTGCAACGCCGCATTTAATAAAATGTATATTATTGAAGATTTTAACAAAATTCATCAGACTTTCTTCTAGGAACAGAATTTTCAATTGGCATTCGAATTTCTTAGCAGGGCGCAATGCAAGAATGTTGGTATTTTTTTAGAAATTGGTATAGCTGCTGCCATGCAAATGCTTGGGGATACATAACTACTTTCAAAATATGGTTGTCCCGTTCTGCCAACGCATGCGCTCTTCAGCCATCTTCCATCTCTTTCTTTCTCTCTTTATGCATACAAGGCAAAGCTCACAGCTATGCAATTCAAGTAACCACCGAGAATTTGAATGAAACAATTGGTTTTTACCAAATGACGTTTTCAGCTGTAGTAAGTGATTAAATTTCTGAATTATTTGCCCAAGCTGAAACAAAGCCTTTGAACCAGGAATCACAATACAAAAACCAGAGTTTTAAGGAAACTTTGATAAACTTAAAATAACTATTCCATATTGAAATAAAACGACTTGCAGTTCTCTTCCTTTTTCCTCTTTTTGCTCAGATTTTATTCAATCAAACTTCTTTACTTGGATGCTTTAGCTCACCCAGTGCTTATGCGAGCATACAGCAAACCTTAATTTCAATTTTCCATAACAAACGTGCCGGTTGGGTTTTGCCTTGGCATTACAATACAAGTATTAACCATTCCTTGAATGTTGCCTTTCATTTCTGTTTTTTGTTTTATGTGTATTTTTGTTTTTGGATTGATTTGGGGTTCTTGAACAGCGCAACTGTGTCTTAAATTTAATATACTCTTTTAGTTTTAGTTTCTCAGTTTTCTTGTGCAGCAAAATACAACGTTGCAGTCGGAATTCATTCGGTTTCCAATCGGTACATACCCTGCTCCTTTTCTTCTCACCTACTCCCATCTCGTCCATGAATGCACAATACGAGTGGATTCATGATTCATGAATATGCTCGTTATTACAATATTTATATATTTATATATGTATGTATGTATGTATGTATGTATAGTAAGTACTCGTATGTATATGCATGCAATATTAATCGTTTCTGCTTAAATACTGTATAAATATAGATACATGTTGGTATACATATGTGGTTGAATATTCTATATGTATGTATGTATGTATGTATGTTACATATAAGTATGTGTATGTGTGTATACTTAGGTATGCATCTGGATTCGCATCATTCGTTCGATTCAGTAAATATCGTGGAATATACATATATACTCGTGTATACATATGTTTGTATGTATGTATATACACAAGGTAGACATTGCATAGATGCAAGTGCTTAAGATAAGTATTACTGCATACATACAAGTAGATATATATACTATGTATGTATGCATATTATGTGTAATTATGTATGTCATTTTGTAGGTAATAAGTACAAGTTAATGTGTATTTGATACTTTGCAAGGTAATTGAATTACGTTTACAGTTACGGTTACGTTTCGGTTACGCTAATATAACTCAGTCTAGCACCCCTAGAGATTGAACATGGATAAACGTTGGCAAAACGATTCGAAAAAATCATTCCGCTTACGTACTTATCAATATACAGTTAGATAGCTAACGATAAACGTTAATATTCCATTAATAATATGTCACTGTTATTGGCTATAATTATACATACATGTATGTATATATATATATATAAGTATATAGTATATATATATATTTTTTGTTTAATGTGTAAATGTGTATAATTGTATACTAGCATTGCATTCGCTAATGTCTCGACTTAAAATGTCAAACAACTTAACCACAAAATGAACACAAATCAAATTCCTTAAATTTGCATATCAATTAAAGTATTCATGTAAATACATATATATATACATACTATGCATATACATATGCATGTACATATGTACATATGCATATGCACTTGTTAGCATGTCGGTTGGTTTTGAGCTAATCTTAAAAATAAGAGTTATAAAAATATAAAATCCAACACATCTGGTTCTGCTTTATCCAAGCAATTATAATAATGAACAAAACTGTTGCATTATCAGACTTAAAAAGACTTGTGAGGGGTGAATCATTGGGTGATCAAAAACAATAATTTTGACATAACGGATTACTATATCAGTTGAAGTTCTTTACATACATACTTATTTATTTGTATTCGAATACACTCAGAGAAGAACGCGGCAGTCTATTAAACTTGGATATTCTCAAGGCGAATTAAAGTTAACTGACTTACTTGACTTCGATTTCAAATTCTTAAATTAGAAATAAATATTTACACATATATACTTAAAGTCGATTTACATTTGCTTTAAGAGATTGGTCTTTTTTTCTTCTGAGTGTAACATCGAGTGTTTAATTTGTTTTTTCATTTTAGTCTCACACTCTATAAGGATGTGAAGCAATGCTGCTGAGCTTAATATTTTCGCAAAGATTTGGTCTCACTTGTAAAGAGATCGACATTGGGGCTCGTTTGGAATCCACACGAGTGCATCAGAACACCCATTGGTGCTCGGAGTTCCCTGCACGCTCACTTAAACAATAAAGATGAAGTGATTTTCATTTGTTTATTTTCAATTCCAAGCCATTTCCACGAAACGAATTGGAATGAACCAGTTGGAACGTCGGAAGGGGCCAAATGTGTTCTCCACTTCAAGTAACTTCAAAACTCACATCTAAAGAAGCTTCAGTATTTCGTGTGCTCTGCAGCCTTTCAAAAAGTAATTTCTCTCAGGGAACTACTAAAGAATCATCTAAAACAAATGTTGGGCTATTCCTGTGTCGTTAGCTATATATCTAATCATCTACGTACGAGTACTGGTTCCACTAGGCACTTTTTCTATGTGATAGGCTTTCATAATTTCCTCTCTAACTACGAAAATGATCAAAACCGCACCATCCGAATCGAATTGAAACGAAAAACGAGTGAACAGCATAATGATTGACAAATCTTGTAAATCTTCATATACTATATAGTATGTACATAAGTGTAGGTATTTAAGGTATTTAACTTTCCATGTGAATAAATCGTTAGTAGTATGTATTCGCATCATATCGAATATTGTAGCCTATCTTAGTTTATTACTTGCTTACGTTGCGTAGCGTCGTCTGGGTCTCCACCTGCCTCGACTTTTAGGTACTGCAGCACAAAAGGATAAATCAAAACTTGGATCTGGGCTTGTTGCATTATACATTTGTTAGGTGTTTTGTTTTTGTTATTTGTTTTGTTTTGTGTTCGAAACCTATTTTTAAGTTCTTTCGATTGAAGTTCTCTGGTATTGCTTGCCATACATTTGTATATTCGGTATTCGTTAAGGTAAACTTTTCTTATTGCTCTGTTCAAGTGTAGTTTTTGTGCTTCAATGTTCATTTTGGCGCTAATAATGATTCAGATGATCATCGTAACTGAAATGGGTATACTTGTATATCTAGAATTTGAAGTTCCTATATAAGCGATGCCATTTCTGTGATCTCGGAAACTACAAGTATATGTACAATTTTATTCTCACGATATTCAAGCCATTTAAAGGATATATAATTGATATCTCGAGATTTTAAAGTGCTTGTCCTCTGATGCCGATTATTTATTTGTAGTTGGAGAAAATATAAACAAATCTTTACTAAACCATGTTGCGCTCTTCCTTGTTAGACTTTATACATACTTGTATATCTGATCAATATGCTGATTCAAAACTATTTAAATCTATAGTACACGCGATGTTAACATGACTCTTAATCTTGATATTCGATGTAACGCAGTCGGGACTTATTTTGCCAATAAAGGGCATCTTAAAAGATTGGATAAAGGCAATAAATTTCTTTTAGAGTTCGTATAAACACACCCTCATTTTGGAAACTAGGATTTCAAAAAGAAACAACGACTTTCTAATGACTTCGCATTTGGAATTTCAGCTTATAGTAGAAATCAGGCCATAACGAAATTTGAAATAAAGAACCAGAGCCCGAGTCGGGTACTGTGGCCGATATTATTCATATCGAAGAAATTGAATTTCAAAATAAACTTTTCGACAAAAGTCTTGCAAAAATTAGTCTGAGCCATAGAAATCTCTTCATATCTTTAATCGCTAATTGGTCCGAAGGGACACAAGAGCCACAGGTTCTCAATTGGCTCGAGACCGTAGAGCATTCTTATTAGAGCTGCAAAGAGAATCGATTCAGGATCGATTTGATCGATATTTAAACACTGTTGCTAAGAATCGATTTGTGTGTGAAGAGTCGACTAGTCGGATAAAGTTAAATGAATAAGCACCTCTTTAATTGAAAGTGACGCTGATCATGACAATATAATTTCATTTTGTTCAGTTAACGATGAATTGATTTCATTTTGGAGAGAGAAAAATCTGCAAACATCGAATATTCAGCAGTTCTAGTTCTTATAAATGTTAAGAAATCAGTAAACATTTCCACATAAATGTGCCTTAGAGATTCGAACCGGAACCACATCGAAGTGTGTTCTCGAAAAGTGGAATCAAAACTGAATGTTGTTTCATCAAGATTTCTGGCTAATGGATCTTCAATCTCTTGAAACTCGTAGATGTGAAGAGGCTCCATCGAAATGATAATGTATGGGAGGAGTTTGTGTATTGATGGACTACGTGTTGGCTTTTTGTTCAATTTTGTTGTTGCCGTGACGGGATTGGGTAAGGGTTTCAAAATGCACGCCAATTGGAAACCAAAGAGCAAAGATTGCTTTTTTTTGGAAATAAAAACAAATTTGGTAGAAATTTTTAGTTTTTGAAAATGTTTTTTTTTTAATTTTTAATGATAGTTTCTCTGATTTTTTTTTTGCATGTGTGTGTATATATATGTATATATATATATATAGCATTTGTTGTTGTAATAGTTATAGCATATAATTTAATTAATTGTATACTTATGTAAGTGTTTTTTGCGTGTTACATTTAATTTACTTAGAGTTACCAAAAATAATTTACTTACAATTGTAAATAGCAGAATCGTCGCAATTTTGTTTACCCCTACTATCCATCCTCCTCGCATTCATTTACAATTACGTTTAGATTTAGATTTACATTAGCATTATGCGATATATGTATGTATGTATATGTATGTATGTATATATAAACAGCAAATCAATTGAATTAAATAAAATTGGTTTAATACACATCGTTATTATTGTTGTTATTTTAGTATGTAGTTAGCATTCATTACTTGCTTTGAAACATAGTCGCGTAATTTATTTATTTATATTGTAAATTGCTGCTACGGCCACGCCCATTAATGCGGACGCGATATGTATGTAGGTATGTAAGTATGTACAAATGTATTTTTACTTTCTTTCATCGGCTGCCCGCCCAACACTCCCCCTCCCCCCCTCCTGTTCGCAACCACCGTAACTCGCCGCCCAAGGCAGAAATGTTGGAAATATTTTACAATTTGTTGCTCTTCGCCTTTCGCCTTGACACTAGAAAGTGAGTCGAAATGTGTTCATTGTGTAAATGTATGTGTGTGTGTGTGTGTGTGAGTGGGTGGGCGTGTGTGGGCGTGGTCTGGGCATAGCTTATGCTTACAATTGAACTAATACGCATGAGTTTTAGAAACTTTTCTACCTCCATTCAAGCAAACGAAAAACATAAAATGCAGAAAACTACTCTCTCTCCCCCCCCCAGTCTTTCTCTGGGGAAAAGATAGCAGAGCTCTTCTCTTCACTAGACGCCGAACACAATAATGAACAACAAAGCCGTGTTAACAACTAATTTGTTTAAGCCTTTACATTTAAATTTGGTTAAAATTTTATTTTATTCCTGTGTTCTCGCATTTAACTTTTGAAGCTACGTTTCAGTTTTTCTTCCTTTCACTTTTTTCTTTCATTTTTTTAAAATTTGTTTTTTTTTTTTGCTTTTAGAAAATGCAAATAATAATAAACAACAAACGGAAAAAACACAAATTTTTTCATAGTTTACAGTGTTGTTTTTGTTCCTTTGTTCAAGTCTAGAACACAGCTAAGGAGAGAAATGCCATAAATTATATAAATATTTATAGTCCACGGATCAGCTGTTGTCCATTGTGAAAAACTAATTCTTTTTTGTGGATTTCTCATTTTGTAGAGCTTTGTAGAGCATTTCAGCTTAGGCTTTCAAGAAGCGCCAACCAAATTTATAATTTCAACTAAATTTTTGTTCTCTTTCTCGTTTCCTCTGGTATATTTAAATATATTTTTATATGTATATGTGCAGGCGTTTGTTGCATGTTTGTTTATAAATGTTTTGCTCTCTAGGTTAATAGTATTTTTTTGTTTTGTTTTGTTTTGTTTTTGCTTGTTTTCTGTTTTCTTCTTCATCTTTTTGCGTTAAATAGTTGCTCAAGTCTTTACGTTTCTTTATAGGGCAAATAAGCATTACAAAATTAATTGTAAAAATCAAAAAATTAGCATACAAAATTATGTACTAGAACGGTTGAGCGTGGCGCTCAATTGTTAGCCAACAACAATTGAACAGCAGCCACATCTGTTTCTTTTGCTCGCTTGTTACTCGTTTAGGCTTTCCCTACGTCTGTGTATGTATATATGGGTGTGTGTGTGTGTGTGTGTGAGGGTGTGGATTGCATGTGTATGCATGTACTTAAGTAGGCGTAGGTGTATGTAGTTTACATTTTGACGTGCGATTTAAATAATTTGTTCTATAATTACATTTACAATCATAGAGTGTTGTTTCCAGTGTATTTGACATTAACCTTTAGTTTTATAATTTACGATTGGGTTCCAAGACATGCACATACACACGATGCCTTTATATAGGTTAGGTATACATATATGTATATACATATATATTAATATATGCATATGTACGTAATACTATTTACTTTGCTAATTAATGTTTACAGTTCACAATTTGCTACAATTTTTCCCGTCTTGTTTCCACACTTTTCCACTTTTCCACTCTTCTTCATCTTCATCATCATATCTTTCCTATCTGTGGTGTAAATACAATTGAATTTTTAATTAGTCTAGGCTTATAAGTCTACATACACACACGCACGCACATACTTGATGACCTTGCCAAGTGGGCGAGCACTTCCGCACTCATACATGCACAACACACACACGCACGCACACAAGAAATGTAATTTTTGGCAATTCACAAAACAAGTGAAGTTGTTCTTTTTGTTCTTTGTGTAGGCAGCATGTGCCTGTGTATGTGCATGTGTGTATGTGTGTGTGTGTGGTTGTATGCTTGTATGTGTTGGCCTGCTAGTTCTAAACTGTAATTAATTTATTTAAATTGTGACTAACTACGCGCTAAAAAACTATACTAAAGCACGGCTTCGTGTGCCGCCCCCTCCCTTCCCAAGAGTCTATATGTGTGTGCCTGTGTGTGTGTGTGTGTGTGTGTGTGTGTGTGAGTGTGATTTATAAATATTACATGTATGTTGTATGCTTGTATGTTTGCTTATATATGCATATAATTCATTTACTTATGCCCATTTTGCTATGCCTTTTATCTTTTTGGCCATCTACTACATCGAGTACTATATCTTCTAATTGGGTTTCATAAAACAAAGAATAGAAAGAACAAAATGAAAAACAATGGAAAAATTAACTTAAACGCTCAAAAATCAACAACAAAACAAAAAACAAAAAAAAAGCAGCGTAGAAACGAAGGAAAACAAATTTTAGTTAGCACTTTAAACAGTTTTTGGGTTTTGCGTTGTTTCTGTTTTTCATTTTTTGCCTGTGTCTAACGCTAATGTTAATGTTAGGGTTTATTCTGCGCACTCTCAGCTCTGCTAATTTTAAGATTATTTTCTATACTAAATTTCAACTAAATTAGAATTAAATTTGCATTTCCACTAAATTTGAATTACTCTTGACACTCAATTGGACGCCGTTTTCTTGGCATGCGTCGTCGTTGCTGCTGCTGCTGCTGATGCTGATGTCACTGCCAACGTCGCAGTCGTCGTTGACGCTGCTGTTGGGGCTGTCAGCGATCCTAACGGCATTTGTTGTCTGCAAGCTGCGGGCGAATTTCTTCTCGCTGTTGGCGAACAATTTGACGAGGCGGATGAATTCGAGTTGGCAATACTGGCTACAATGGCTAGGCTGCTGCTGCTACTGTTGCTGCGATTCGACGATGACGTTGCGGGTAATGATGATGCCGATGCCGATGCCGACGCTGACGTCGCAGTCGCTGCGCTTCCGTAGCTCAGCTTGCTCATATTTTCAATTGCTTCCACCCAGTCGAGCGCATAACCCTCGGGATCGTCCAGATAGTATGTGCGATTGGGCTGCAAATGGAAGAATGTACATAAAAAATCAATTAAAACACATTCGCATGACAAGTAAACAACAACAGTATGGAGGAAGATCATTGAAATAGCCAAAACATATACTACTAATACTACTAAACTGTCAACTGGTTGCTTTTTATTAGCGTTGCGTGTGCAGTCTTCAATGTCGCATTTAATTTGATTTAATTTGCTCTTTTGGCCATAAACAAACACACGTGCCGCGTCCCATAATATGCCCAAGAACAGCAGAAATATGCCAAGCCATGAGTGTGTGTTTATGTGTGTAGGGGGCGTATGCATGTAGGTGTGCTGCGCTGCGCTGACGTCATGGCTACAACGTCACCAGTGAAAGTTCAACAAACTTTCCCATTTGTTGTTGTTCAAATAATAATGAAAATGAAAACGAAACTCCCGTGCGTGTTGAGTAAAGTTATGAATATTCTCGTAGCATACTTTGGGGCGGACACATTAAATTCAATTGAAGGGCGTAACAGTGGACTAATTTTAACTATATTTCGCATTTTATATTCGCATTATCTTAAACGAAAACCAAATTGTAAAAGCTTAAATAAGGCCTCAAAAGTAGAGCTTTATAGTAAAAAGAAGTAAAATTGAATCTTTAGGTCGTAAAGTCAACCAAATGATCCTTTATTCCAGCACTTCATGTTTTTGCAATTTTTCAAACTTTGTTTATATGATATTTTGGCTTCCGTAGCGATTCTTGTCCACTGTGCGATAGCCCCAGTTGGGGTTTTTATGGCTTGCACGCGCGCTGCAATCGTTCTAACGGGGGAACGACCGCGGGAAACGGCCGGAGCTGCACTGACAGAGAGTGCAATTTGCATAAATGCGACAGTTCAAGCACATGGACATGGACATAGAGTTGCTAAGCATGCGGCTAAGCAAAAGAAATAACCTTGAGGCAAAGTGAATGGTGATTGTGACGGTGCTGGGCGGGGGGTGGAACTGTTTCAGATAAGAGGCTGACGCTTACGCTGATTTTGCTTATCGCCGAGCACTGTGCACTGCACTTTCACCTCAACACAAAAAAAAAAAAAAAAACAATTGGACAGCTGGGCTGCACACAAAATATGAACAAATATGAAAACACTCACCGTATAGACGAAGAAAATTTTAAAGTTCTTGGCCTCGACACGCAATTCAGGGCTCCAGGGTATTTCGCCCTTCTTAATCATCTGGACCGGATCGATGTAAATGAGACGGGGGCCAGTAGTGAGTAGCAGCATGCGTTTTCGGGCAAAGAGACCTTTCCGTTTGTTAACGAATCCCTTCTTGAGGATGACCTCATCGTCGGCAAACACGTGCCATTTATCAGTCTTTTGTGCCTGTCGGCGTTGCATTTTCTCCGCATCGCTCAGATCGAAGGAGTCTGGAAGGGGCAAGAGGGGGAGCACTGGTTAGACTGGATATTCGATAAAGGATTTAAGCGGTCACTTACTTTTTGTCTTCGCAGTCTTTTGCGCTGCACTGTCGCTGCCACCAACACTGCCCACACCAAGTTCCATGCCCAGCAAACGAGTGATCTGGCGCTCATCGAGACCAGGTTCCAAATCACCAGGCACACTGAAGCTGGAGGGGAAATCTTCGTCCTTGCACACTCCCGGCAAATAGGGATAGATGGGCGGTGGAGTTTGTTGGCGCAATGTTCGCCACTGGATGCCGGCAAAGAAGGGATGCGAACGTATGCTCTCGTAGTAGCCAAATTCATCCTGGGCGCCCAGACGCTCCCGCGGATCTACCTTGAGCAGACATTTGACTAGATCCTCGGCATCCTTGTCGAAACCCTGCGGGAAGTCGACCCCACAGCTGAGTATCTCCTTAAAGATGACGTAGTCGTTACTACCCCTGAAGGGCGGCAGGCCGGATATCATCTGATAGACAATGCAGCCAAGGGCCCAAAGGTCTGCGGCGGGTGTGATGGGTCCATTTTGTAGCACCTCGGGCGACACATATTGGGCGGTGCCCACAAAGCTACCTCGCCTCGGACGCCTCTGCCGCCGTCTGGGCATGCAGCTGTGATACGCGGAATCGACCTCATCGCCTCCATCGACATCATCATTGGATTCGCCATCAACGTCATCCAGATCGTCCTGGTCGTCGAGATCATAATACAAATCTTCGCTATCCTCGTCATCGTCCGAACTACGTGCCGAGCGACGGCGTCTTCCCCTATCCGACAGCTGGCTGGCCGCCTCAGTGCGCTCCTTCGGCGTCATCACCTTGGCAGATCCGAAATCTGCAATCAACATGTGCATATCCTCATCCAGTAATATGTTCTCAGGCTTCAAATCTCGATGCACAACATTCCGACGATGCATTTGTTCGCAGGCGAGCACCAACTCAGCCGCGTAGTGACGTGTGCAGGCGACATCAAAGCTGCCCACCTTGTTAATGTACGGCAGGAGGTCACCCTTTTTCGCATACGTCATCACAAAGTAGAGCGATCGTTGATCTTGAAATGTGCAGGAGAGATTCACAAAGCCAGGCACATTGGTCATCATGTGCATCACCTCACGCTCCCTCTTAATGTAGTCCTGTTTACGCTCACGTAGGATCAATCGCTTCTCGCACACTTTGACTGCAAATAGAGGAAGAAATGGGTTAATAAATTTGTTGAATAATGAATAAGTGTTTCTATTAAATAATCCATTTCTTCAGTTTTAATTTTATCTACTTTTCAGGAACACCCTTAATGGTTTGTATTGGTGTGGGCGTCGCAGCCAGACACATACGTCGCAAGCGACGCCGGCAGCGGCGACTGTGACAGCTGCTCTTGCTTACAATGCAAATCAGCAACAATAACAACAGTAGACAGCAACATTAGTGGCAATTGTCGCCGCTCGTTGCCAACTTACTGTTAGAACTATTTTCAGACCTGTCTGTTCCTCATCTTTCAATTCTCATAAATGCCGAGCTTTGAGTCTGAGTCCGTCTGTCTGTCTGTGTGTGTGTGTATGTGTGTGTGTGTGTGCGAGTGTTGTTTTTTAAAGTCTAGCTTCGCGCTCTCTTACGACACCCCCAAGACAAACGATCCAAACAGCTGAGTGAGCAATTGTGCGTGAGAATGGGGAAGGGAAAGGGGACGAGAGGCACTCATGTGGGCAGCGGTGACTGTAGTCGTAAACTTTTTCAATGAATTTTAAAAATAAACTACACACAATAACAGACGACAACAACAACAATAGCCACATCAGAACGACAACTGTAAATTTCAATTTATATTTCAAGTGTTGATAAATAAAAATAAAATAAATATGTATGTATACAGAAAAACAAAAACAGCCAGTATGTATGTAGCTACTAATTTCGTAATAGAACGAACTACCCTGAAACTACAATAATAGCAACCATAACTACAAATAGTCTGAGTGTATGTATGTATGTATATCATTAAATGATAATGAAAAATGCGAAAAATATGCGCACAAGCACACATACATACCTTAGATCTTATGATTATTTAAGCATGTACCGTTGTGTGTATTCTGTATGTGCATGTGTGTGTATTCTGTATGTGCATGTGTGTGTCTGTGTATGTGTATGTGTGTGTGGGGAAACGCACGCGTGAGTACAATAAAAATCGCATTTAATGGAATTGTTAGCCAGTGCGAAAAATACTTTGAAATGCAAATAAACAAAGAACAGAACAACATTCATCAACAACAAATCTGGGAATGTACACACACACACAGACATTCCATGTACAAACATCTGTTTGTAGTAACATCTTGTCTTTGGTCATCGAAGAGAAAATAAACGAGTAATGCATAGTATTCAGCAATATTCTGATTGAAATTCAACAAGAAAAAAATATTCGGAAATCAAGTAACAAAATACAATGTTTAGAATAGATCGTATCGTTAAAGTACTTTGTGAATAAAAATGTTTGATTAAAAAAAGAATTCTTAAACAGTAAAATATTTATACATACTATGTGTGTATGTATTCTTATTTCGCAATTTGCATAAATTAGCACTAAACGATAAAGTCGTACACACATGCAAATATACGTACATACATATTTATATAGTATGTGTATGTATGTATGTATGTACATATATTCAAACACCAATATCGTTAGTGACATTTTTGTAAGGTGTCGGCAATTTGCTTTGATTTCTACAAATTTGTTGTTTTTGTTGTTTCCCAAGACGAGCTTCGCTCGTTTCGCCGTTTTGCCGTTCCTCGTTCTCTTTGTTCCAATATGGCATATTTCAAGGGCGTAGGCCGTTTTACCAAAGGGGGACCAAGAAATTAAAATTTTGATTAAATAATGCACGATGCATTTAAAAAATATCTTATGCATATGATCAATGAAAAAACTTCAACAAATCCAACTCAGATCCATTTTAATGCGAAATAATGCGTCATAATAATGAACGTTATATTGCAAAATTTTTTCTACGCCCTTGGCATATTTTGAGATTTATATGAAAATGAATGCAAAATTTACAAAAACAAAACACACACACACAACACTACTACACAGTGTGAACGAGAGAGTGAGCGAGAGACAGGGAGTGAAAGAACGAGGTAGAGACAGCTCAAAGTCGAGTGCAAACAAAAAGGAATTTGCTCAAATTGCTAAATTAACAGAGGTTGCGCAGTCGCAGTAGACGTCGCAGTCTTCGCTGGCAGCAACGAAAGCGAGCGCGTATGGTTGGGTAACTTGTTTGTTGTTGCTCCCCCCCTTTGGACGGAACTTCCCCACAACTCTCTACAATAACAAGACGAGAAAAAAGAACAAGAAACTACGGCAAAGAAAGAAATTCTAAACTGGTTGTTGAACTGTTTGTTCAACACACACATGTCTCCAAGCAACAATTTCTTTCGGGATTTTGCATGGAAACATACATATGAATAGTACTGTACATACATTTGGGCAGGAGGAAACAATTGATAGGCGAACCACGCCCACAAAATTTGTTTTGAGTCAATTGGCCAAAACTATTTCATGAGCTTATCAGCAATTTCTCCACACTTTGAAATTGTTTTGCCTTTGCTATTGGTTTTCTTTTAGTCGGACTTTATAATGCCATAGAATTTTGTGGTTGTACGTGTATGTGTTTTGTTTTTTTTTTTTTTTTTTTTTTTTTTTTTATAGCGCTACTAAACCTTTCCCACTATCTCTCGCTCTCTCTTTTGCACTTTGATTGGCAAATGCTGTTCTCGGTGCTGCTGTTGCTATAGTTGTTGCTCTTCTTGTTGTTGGCAGCCTATTTTAAAAATTCATAAATTAAATTCTCTAGGCAGGGAGATCACAAAAAGCGCATAAATAAAAAGCTTAACTGTCGTCTAATTAATAAATAATGGGGCAATAACAAAAATTTGTGACTAAACGTACTATACATACATACATATATACATGGATAAAAGTTAAAGAAAATTTGCTAAAGAAACAAAATCACAAGTTTTAGATTAGTTCAAAAGAAAATTCAAAACAATATTAAAGTCACAAACAACTTTTAAGCACATACCTAAAGATATCTATGTAAATGTGTATGTACATAGATTTATATGCAAATATTCATAAGAAAAAGTAGTTTTTCACTCGACTGTTTGTTTGTTTGTCACAGAGAATGAATTGAAAAATTTAAATTTTCTGTTTGATATCGGTATAGGAACAAAATTTATAGGAACAAGAGACCCAGTTTTGCAAACGTTAGCTGGCAGCTCTCTTTTTGACAATAATCTTGTGTGTGTGTGTGTTCTTTTTTATCAAGATCAAAACAAATCGCTGCCAACAGCTATTTGGCCAGACATTGCCCAACAACAATAAAGTTGCTAAGGAAATAGAAATTTTTTAGTCTGAAATCAGTCGGCGATAAGTCGAGTGGTCTACAACAACAAAAACAATATCAACAAAATAAACAAAATACAGCAATTAAAAGATTAACACGAACGAAAAAGTTTTTTATGCGTTTTAAATTTTCGATGCGAAACGCGAAAATAAACAAAAATCAACAACAGAAACTAATAAAAAAACAAAGTGCGTAAAAATAAAATTGACCTTCAAATGAAAAAAATGTTGCGCTAAACTTTTGCCAATAGATTTAATAGATATTTTTACTTCTGCTGCTGTTGTTGTTGGCAACAGCCTTTGCCATTATTGATTATAATAAGAGAGTGTGTTAACTGTGGGCGGGAGGAGTAGTTCGGACGGGATTCATGTGAAAGTTGGCAATGGAATATTTTGCGATTTCTTTTTGTTTGATTTTTGCAAACAAGTATAAAAAATGAAATAAAATGCGACTGCGTGTGTTTGGCATTTGTTTTAATTCTAATTTTTTTATTTAGCCTGCTTTGAGTACGCGCTTTATTTACATAATTAATTTTTTTTTTTTGGAAGCACGCTTTGTTCTTGCTGTTGTGCCTCAGTGCTTGCTCTTCTTCTTGGCTTTTTTTGAGCTGGGTTTTTGTGGCGTTGTGGGTTAACGGCCGACTGATAAGGCCGCGCGCAACCTTGAACTTCACTGTGGTTATTGTTATTGTTTTTTCTGTGTGCTATTGCAACAAAGTAGCCTCATTAGGCAAACACAAATGTTTAAACAAAACTACAACAAACAGCGCGCATTTTTCTAAGCATAAATATTTGCGCTCTGCCCCCTTTCAAACAGCGAAAAGCCAACGGTATAACTGTCAACAAAATGGCAAGTGCAGGCGTAAGAGAGTTAAATTGAGAGTGAGAGCGAGCGATTACTTCAGGTGTTTACAGTTAATTTAGCATTGTTTCAATTTCCATGCAGTTTTTGTTTTCATACACAAGTCTGCGCCCACATCATCAAAAACAATAAATAAAAGCAAAACATGTACACGTGTATGTATGCAAATATAGGAGTATGTGCTTTATTTGCAAAATATTTTAATTTATTATTTGCAGGCGCGTGCGCGATTTCATTTTTTTAATAAAAATTTCCGCTGACTTTTGCATCGCGCTAAAGTGCATAGAAAAAATAAAAACATTAACAACGGCACGCCAGCGTCGATGCCGACGTCGACGACGACGACGACAATGAACGGGTTATTTAAAGTTTAAAATAAAAAGCATAAACAAACGTGTTGTAAGAAAAAAAACAAACCAAAAAGAGTGGGCGCTTGCTCGAATTACAGTTCAAAAAATTATTGATAATCAAAAGACCAAATTACAATACCGAAAGTAATAATAACAAAAACAATAGGAGAAGTGTGCGCGGCCGATCGAAAAAAGCTTTTAAAAAAATGTCCAATTTCTGAGCGCAAAAAAAAAACGATATCAATTCAAAATGACACGCCAAATACGCGCCAAAAACACAAACAAAAAAAGGCATTCAGTCCGGCAAGAACAAGAAAAAATATGCAACTTGTTGCTGCAACAGCGGCTTTGGAATGCAGTTGAACCAGTGAGTAAGAGCGGCGTGAGCGAGAGAGTCGCAAGTAACTCACTACTAGAACGAGGGGAAGAAGAAAAGCAAGAAAATGCAGGCCCATAAATCGCAAATGCAATGAGATGGGAGATGGTGTTGCTTAGCTTACGTTCTTGTTGCTGTTGCTGCCTTTCATAAAAATGCCAAAGAAGTCACTGTGGGCAGACTGTGGGCA